AACATGTTAGAATATATTAATATTATTATAAAGTATTAATACTTTATACATGTGTATTAATATTATATTTTAATATGGTGATTTATAAAGCTAAATGTTAATTTATTTAAAACGTTTTGGTAATAAATATTGATTGACTTATTTTTTTGTCTTCAAAATAAAGCAATATTAATATTAATTTCATAAAAATATACATTATTTCATTAATATTTGTTTCATAATTTAACAAAGGTATATTTACTTGTATACATTGTATCTAATGTATACATTGTAATATAACATTTAGCATTGTTATTTAAATGATATTCTAATTATTTTGTGAATTACTAATTATTCTACAATAATTTTATAGTTTTCTTTTTTAGATTAATAGCAAAAAGAGCAAAAATGAGACCAAAACTTAAAATTAAGAATTATGTGAAAAAATATTTATTAAAAATTATAATAAAACCATTACTATTGTGTGGATTTCTATACCAAACGTATAAAATAAGTTTCATATACTTTTCATACGAGACGACAACTAATGTCAGGTTTGATTCGCAGTCCGTACTACAGGTGCCGGCGATAACCGTATGTTTCAACAAATTGGAATTAATTAGCAATGATTTTAAGCTCAAATATATTAACCGCACAAAGAATATTATGGACTACTTGGTCGAAATTAACAAACTCTCAATTGGTGAACAATTCCGTGCCCTCTACTTTCCTCTTAGACCCTCTGATTGTACAGTACTGGACGGAAAGGGAGGTTATACTTACTGTACTAATGTTACAAAATATACCCCCTCTATCAGCAAGGACAGTTATTGTGTAACACTATTCGCCGATTGGTTGGGTGAATATCGGGGTAATTACGGGGTAAAAACAGCTGAAATATACTCTCAATTCTATGCTTATTTAAGCGTCGCTCGTAAGTATCGGTTTGTCACTATTTATCTACACTACCCATTGGACAGAGTCTACAGTATTTACCGCAAGGGAGCGTTGGGCATCAATATGAACTACAGTAACACATGCATCATAAAATTCAGAAAGAGCGTGGTGAAATTAGATTTCCGACACAAATTACGATGCTTTAATCAAGGTATTTTACGTGACGCATGTATTAACAAATGCAAAGTGGATAGGTACCGGGATCAGTTTTCGGTGATTCCTGGTCATATTTTAAGTTATCAATTAACACTGAATAACATTTACATGACTAATACGTATAACACTAGCATCGATAGGGAATGTGAGCGCCTGTGCGCTGATAAAGTGCAATGCATTCAACACTATTATACCGTGAATTTAATTAAAGAAAATTACAATTTTGATCTCAATAATTATATGATAATGTTTGAGATCCCGTCCGCACCCGAAGTCATATACACTATAACACAGAAGATGTCGAGCGAAGAGTATCTGTGCTTTTTGGCCAGTCTTATGAGCCTATGGTTTGGCTTCACTGTTATAATGTTAACCAATTCGTTGACAGATCTGTACAACACATATGTGTTAAATGTAAAGAACAAAACTTTATTTGTTAAAAAACAAAATGTTATGTTTAAGAAGAGGGTTCATTTTAATTTACAAAACATTAAAGTAATCAATGAGCGCAAAAAATAAATACAAATCCATATTATAAATTTCTACCACACGCATTTTATTATTAATTAATTACTGCACCGACTCGTAATGCACTTTAATATTGTTGTCGTAAATACTTTTGTTGCCAATTATTGTTTGGTTATCGCCGGCTATGGTATAGATGTCAGTTCCGGGAGGTATGGCTATGGATCCACAGAAGCACTGCTTCTCATTCATATGATAGCAGTTTTGGGACAAACATATGCTCACAAACATTAATTTTAAAATACAAATTAATATATTTATTATATTCATAATTGTGTATAAAATAAAACATTTCTTAATAATCTTTGTATAGAATTTAATGTTATATATCATTAAAGAAATGTTTGCGTCATTTCCTGTCAAATTGTTTTCCCTCATATTTCTGGGAGAAGTAATAAATTTTGAAAAATAAAAACAATTTTGATAATAATCTTTGTATAGAATTTAATGTTATATATCATTAAAGAAATGTTTGCGTCATTTCCTGTCAAATTGTTTTCCCTCATATTTCTGGGAGAAGTAATAAATTTTGAAAAATAAAAACAATTTTGATAAGAAAAACTCATATTTGCATGATATCTAAATATACCATGTCATTTTAAATAATTAATTACTTTATGTCGTGTTTGATAAAAGTATTTCACAAAAGTAATCAATTATAATATAAAATTTTATTCGATTTCAAATTATATTCTGGACAATCTAGATATTTTTATTTTTAACAAATAGTGTTACCATGTACTTACGGTTTATATGAGTCATATAATATGACTTACAGTATAACAGTTAATGTAGTTGTGGACAATTACTATCTTCAATTCTTTAAAATGAGTTTTATAAACTGACAATTGGTTTTTAAATGTTTATAATATGTGTTTAAACTTTTAATGTATAACAATTAACAGAATGAACATGTATTTATTAAAAATAATTTTAATAATTAATTACTTATTTGTTCAGGAAATGTGAAGATAATAATATGGTAACACTAATGTTAAACACGTAATATATTAATTATTTTTTATAATTAAATATCATTACTTTTAATGCTCATTATCATTAATTTAATGCATATTCTCTAAAAATATATTATATGAAGATAATAATATGGTAACACTAATGTTAAACACGTAATATATTAATTATTTTTTATAATTAAATATCATTACTTTTAATGCTCATTATCATTAATTTAATGCATATTCTCTAAAAATATATTATATATATTTAAAATTCTTGTAATTCGTTAACAAATACATGTTGGTGAACGAGCTAAATTAAAAATAATGTATACAAAAATTGAGCAAGTAATATTTATTACCAAAACGTTTTAAATAAATTAACATTTAGCTTTATAAATCACCATATTAAAATATAATATTAATACACATGTATAAAGTATTAATACTTTATAATAATATTAATATATTCTAACATGTTTGAATAATTAAATGCACTAAACATTTTATAGTATCTAATACTGAAATATGTTTTAATATAAACCATATCAGGTTCATTCTAATTATAATAAATGTAATCTATTAATTTATTTTAAAACAGAGTATGGTAATACAGTACTGGTAATGTCATTGACATTGCGTGATTATTAATTCAAAAAGGTGTTTATCAAGTATAGACTTTATATTAAAGTAAATAGTGTATACTGAATTAAATGTGCATTACATTATTATGTTTTGCACAACATATTTTGCTTATTATAAATTAAATTAAATTCAAATATAATTCACTAAAATTATTCTATAAATTACAAAATTAAAGTAAAAAATTAGTAAAATATAAGACATAATGTTATAGATTTTCATTTTTAACCACGTTTTCCTCTTCCATTATACACTCACTGCAAATGTTATTGCATTGAATGTCATATAATTTAAATACGAAGAAAATATGACAGGATTTCCCGGGCATAAGGATTATAGTGGATGACAGCCATCACTGCTATCAGCGATGACGACAAGTCATGTATTGTAAGTTTAATATTACAGACAATTGTAGTTATGATTTGTTTTCATTACAAAATCATATCAATTGCCGTACTTTTAATTAAGTTTATAAATGCGCTAAACATTTGTGATAATGACACCAATGCCGGGCATTGTATGTGCGGCCAATTGGCTAAACCACCCGGCGTTGTCATCACTAACATCGATGACCATGGTCATGTAACAAACATTGATCATCAGCAAACATTTAAACATAATACAATTGTACATTATAAATGTAGCAATGACCATGATATATTGGTTGGCAACCCTAAACGGAAATGCGATACCGGGTACTGGACAGGGAGTGTGCCCAGATGTGGTATTTACCAACCTAACCCCATATATAATAATATACTTTAGCAATAATGTCATGTAAATTTATCCACACCATTTAGCAATAAACTACGGCAACCAATCATACCTAATACACGTAGAGTTCGGGTCAGACTCGTCGGTATTGCCCACATCTAAAGCCAACATAAGCCGTCCGTACAACGAGTTGGGCGCCTATACGCCACCCCATAGGGCGCCGTTGGGTTGTCTCGTGAAGATCAACTCAGGCGACGACGAGTTTGCGTTTGATTTGTCCGAAGCCATTGAAATACATTACGTGCGGATCAAGTTATACGCCATGAATGTCAAACATATTTGGCTCAAACAACAGCTCGTATTCACCGCCTCTTTCAACGACTATTTCGAGGACAGTTGTCGACTGTCGGGCGCTCACCATCGAGACGATAGCGGCCACGAAAGTGACAATTACCTGACCCTCGAGTTCGGGTGCGACGATCCGGCGTTTATCGGCAATAAATACGATAGGGTTATAGTGAAAGTCAACGTATTTAAGGAGACTTTCTCGCAGATAATCATATTTCATATCTGCGACCTTCGGGTCTATCGGTTTGACAGCGAGTGCGGCCGACCAGACATACCGGTGACGATGGATGCGCTGCCAAATGGCACCACAGGTTATGAGTACCGGTGCCGAAGGGAGGATCAATATTTTTTGGACGGCTCGGCCAGAGTTGGCTGCAATGAATTTGGTAAATGGACTCAAGGGTTCCCCCGCTGTGTCGACAGGTCTTACTGTCCGGTGCTGTCCAACGATACGGTCGGCGAGTCGGTGGACATCAGCTACGAGTTGGTGGTCGAGGGCGGAGAGGGTCGCACATATGTACCCAACGGTATGTCCGTCCGGTTCTCGTGCGATACCATCAAAAATAGCACACAAAACAACGAAACCCATTATGTATTGCGCGGACCCGATAGGGTTGAGTGCATGGATGGCCAGTGGTTGGACCTGACGGACGACAACAAACCCGACTGTCGGTTGGAAATAATTGACACCGGAGTGAACCGGCTATCTCTGCCCCAGTATATCATAGCCGTGTTGTCGGGCGTACTCTTGCTGTCCGTCGCCGTAATCCTATGTCTGACGGGTTTTACTGTAAACGGTCGGCGACAGCGCCGGGAAGTAGAGGCCCGGCGGGCGAAGGAGAGGGCGGAAAACCCATACGACAACCCGTACGACATGTACGGCCAGTATTACGACGATATCCATACCGTTGATAACGAGGGGTCCGGTGTTTATGAGGAGATTAAGTCAAAAGACATGACCGAAGAGACCACTGTTTACGATGATATCGCCATCGATGGCAACACAACCAATGATAAGAACTTGTATGAGAATCCCGACGACGATATGGCCTACGAAGAGATCAGGTATGTGTCGGACGGTCGACAACAGGGCCGGGAATATCTCGAGATCACTGATTCAGTGTATTTTGAAATGAAAGCTTGATTTATATAATGTAATGTTTGTTTAGTTTTGGCTTTTTTGTGCTTATTTTTATGTGTTTATAGATTTATGTGTTTTTTTGTTGTTTAAAGATATTGTTGTAAATATTGAATGTTAAGTCACATATAAAATGTTAAGTTATGTGTTAAGTCATGTTAAGTTACATATACCTGTTCAACACATTATTCGTGAGTGACTTAAACTTTCTATTTATTATTTGTTGTTGTTTTTTGCGAGAAATATGTATTTTTCGTGAAAAGTCCGTACCTTTAAATACTCGTGGATTTTATTAATTTGAAATTGTTTTTAATTAATTCAAAACTTATATGTTTTTTTGTGTTTGAAAACAATTTTAAAATTTTAAATGTTGTTTTTGCTTATTTTCTTACATCATCTACTATAGACATAGGCTATAGCTATAGCTAACGATTAATAATAAAATGGTAATTAATTATTGCATTGAATATGATTATAAAATATGAAAACTAATTCATTTAGTTAAATTGATTTTTTGAAAATGAAACTGTTTATCATGGTAATTAATACACGATTTGGTAAATACCCACATGTAGTACATCATCTGTATGTGGGTATTTTACAGTATATGAACAATTTGTAAATACCTTGACATTAACCTTACCTGTACGTTTGAATTTATTTGTAATTAAAATACAAGATTCAAACCAAACAATAAAACAAGTTTTGATGTAATGAAAGTCATCTATACTTTTTCAGATAGAAATTGGTTTTATTTACATACTGTTTGTATAGCAAAACTGTCTTAATGTTATACAACATTATATAACATTATAGAAATATTTTATATATGTAAAGCACATTCAGTAAAATAATGTTGAGATTTATTTTATTCAATATATTTTTATATTCTGCTGCATATGGCTCAGGTATGTACTCATTTAAATTGATTATATTTTCTGTGAATTACACGTATATTGATTTTTTATTTACTTAAATTAAATCTTATTCCATGTTTCTTTGAAATTACTATAACATTTAATAGGTTGTTCAGAAATTAATGTTCATTTCGGCCATAACTCAAAAACTAATTAAGATAATTTGAATCTGTCTTCAGATAATAATAGCACTAGCCCATGTCCACATCTCACCAAAAATTTATCAGGATTGATTAATATTTAAAGTGTTTATTTTGAAAAAACTGACAAAAAAATTGTTCAAAAAAGTTATTGAAATAGGAAAACTTTTTTCTCGTTTGATAAAA